TCAAGCCAAGACAGAGAACTAGATTGAAGACAAGTAATTTTTTTGAATACTCTGCACAGAATACCTCTGTTAGGATCAGCTAAGGGATGATTGGTCCACAAAATTATCTTTTTGTGACTCATACATAGAGTAAAAACCACAGAATATTTCCTTATAGATAAGTGAATACATAGATCTTCTTTGTTTTCTTTAATTGTTTTTGTTTGTTTGCTTGTTTGTTTGTTTTCAGGTATTGTACCCTTATCTATGTTAAATTTTAAACTAATAACTTGAGACCTATTTTTCATGACCAGTTTGATTTCTGAACGTATCTGCCAGGATAATATGTGGTGTTGAACTGAACTCATGAAGCCTTAATGGGTTCTTAATGTAAACAAAAGGCATTTTCTGAGAAATTATGATTTGTTAAAATACTTGGAAATTATGGTTACCAGACAATGAATAAAACAGACCTACTTGTATCTTAAAAACCAGCAGATAGATGAAAACAGAAGAAGATAGACTGGGACAAAATTCAGAAGTACAAAGTTATATTGATTCTATTTATACGTCATCATCATCTGAGTATGACATAGCTATCTACATAGCTCTACACCTCTTATTTCTAAAATACAGGATACAGAAACTTTAATGCCTCATTACTATGTACCTACTCCTAGATAAGAACATCCATTTTTTTGGAAGGGAGGGGTGGAGGGGGGACATCGCTACAGTCCAAACACTTAAAAATATCCATACACTTAGCAAATTGCATCCTAGATTATTAAAACCCATAAGCCCTTTCTTCTTCAATTCCAGCTCTGCTCAACTAGGGCATTTGAATATCTCTGTTTCTCCCTACGTTTACTCATCATGAACAATGCAAAGTAACTAAAATACAGGCCGCAAAGAATATGTGAGATTTGTGGAACACAAGTGTTTAAACCCATGCAAGCTGCAGAGTAAATAAGGGCCTCTGATTTCATATACAAACACTGAAGAAAAAGGAAATCTAAACTTCCCTTCTTTTTGTGGGTATGTTTCCAAAAAAGGGTAGCCAAAAATCCATTTTGTACAGTGCTCTGTCCTTTGCACTATTTGTACAGTACTATTCCTTTCCACTAGCTTTCAGTAGATTGCTTAAGAGAATCTACCAGGGGGGATATTCAGTTTTAGGATCCATGTCAGGCCTCGTAGGTGTCAACTTACCCTGCACTGAACTGCCCTCGTACAAGACTTAAAAACTCAAGTCTGGTTAGCTGTGACATTTAAGTACAAGTATTCTCAAGGTAAAATGACAGCTGACAGAGAGGAATCAGCACCAGAAAACCCACTTTAGATGTCTAAGTTCTCCAAAGTTTAAGTACATTTTAAACCTCCCCAACCCTATGTAATAAGATACAAGAAAATTAGGGACTTATACAGTCTGCTGCTGGTGTTACTAGCTTTGTAACTAAAGGCTATTCCCTGAATCCTGCTCCACTCAGGTACTCTACAAAGACAAAATAAACTAATATATTGGTTCTGTACTTGCAGCCCCTGCTGTATGAGGAGACCATCACTACTGTAGACATTCACCTTCCTCCACTTCTAATTTCAGTCATATTGGAAGAAACATTCTATCTCTCTCCTTCCAAATTTAGGGATATGTGTGAAAAGATTCAAAATACTCACTATCATTTTACAAATTTGCTGTAGAATAAGGCTGCTGGCTTTTTTTCCAGAAACCAAAATGTGTGAAATTTCTCTTGCAATTAAATCTATTGGAAGCTTTTGTGAAAACGCTTTTCTGCCACCATTGACTGTGTTTATTTGTACTAAGATGTGTCATCACCTTCCCTTCTCCTTGCAGAGGGAAGTAGTATGAGAAAGTTGTGTGATCTACAGTGGTTTTTTTCTATTATTTGCATAAATTCTTAAAAACAATAGTATCTAGAAGCAATTCACCCAAAGATATCTTGAACCAACCTTTTACTGTTCAAATAACAGGAAGTCAGTATAAAACCTAATTAAACTATGTGGCACAACCCTAAAATTATAGGGTTTAGCCAGTGGTGAAGTAATTTATTTTCTGATAATGAATTATTTGGCACAAAGCATGCAAAAATATTTCCATTTCCAAAACAAGCTAGGGAAAATAAGAACTCAGAACACTGAGAATATCAGTGTAACTTGGTATCTCCCATATTGAGAGCTGCTCAAAAAGTTACTGGTAACAAGTCTGTTAAATTCTGGGTTGCTTTCTCTTGTTACATCTCAAAGCTATCAGAGCGGGAAAAATAATAACATAGAACACTTCTCATTAGCTAAATAGCAATGTCTCATATGACAGGAAAAGAAAAATTACCAGGCCATCATGCCGAGAAAGGATTTATACTTTAAAATACTGTCTTGGTTTGAAAAACAGGTGCCTGCTAGGGAAGACAGGAGCCTCCCATGGAATGGAGAATGTATACACCTTCCCTCCTAATTATTATAATTTTGAAATTAAGGGGCTCTCAGGCAGAGATATGAAGATAGGAGCAACAGTTCTTTACTAATATGTATAACTAGGCAAACAAAACATCAATAACTATGGCATTAACAACAAACAGAACCAGGGAGCCGGTAATAGCCTTCTTGGCTGCTGGCACTTTCCCCTAGCAGTCACAGCCGGCAGGAATGAGCAGAAACCCCGGGCTGGTGGAGGAGAGTTATCAGAAGTTCCGCAGCGGCAGCCAGAGCTGCGGGGCCTCCCGGCAGGGCAGGGGGTGCGGGTTACGGTGTGGGGAACCCAGAGCAGTGCTAAAGAAACAGTGGGGACGGGACAGCCACAGCCCGGCTCTGAGCAGGGCAGGGAGAGGCCAAGTTCAGGATTCCCGGGGCACCAGAGCAGATGGTGATCGGTGCCTCAGGGCTGAGCTCAGCAGTGCCGGTGAATTCTCCCCGCAGTAAGCGAGAGCCTGGCTGTCCTCCTCTGATGCCAAAGAGCGAGAGCTGCCCCCAGCCCGGTCTTTTACCTGTCCCCCATTCTTGCGGTATCTCTGTCCCTACAAGAGAAACTCCCCGAGACAAAAAATGTAGCCAGATGCTTCATTCCTCGCTGGACTTCAGCCACTGTGTTCTGTCATTCTTAAGTACCCATTAGTATCCCTAAGTACCCAGTAGTTAGTTTCCTAGCAACTTATGGGAAAAAAATTCTATAAAAGAAAAAAGAGAGAAGCCCAACCCCCAACAGCTACATTGTTTGAGGAGGCAAAACTGATTATATTTAATGTTGTAAGTTATAGTCGTTACTTATCAGGCCGAGGCATTGACACTCCCCAGTTAATAAATTTACATAAAAGAGAAACAGGAACATCAGGATCTGAATTTTTTTTAAAGGAGGAATTCCTGTTTCTGTATTGTGTCATTCAGTAAGAGATTCATAATTCATAATTAATAAAAGATGGAGATCCTTATTATTTTCTGCTCATGAACTCTCTTTATAATCAAGTTATTACTAATATATGAAAAGACTGCACTATTGTATACATTAATTTTTCAGTCTTCCATCAGATCTTGCATCATAGCCCCCAGATGTGTTACTATAGAATCTTACAGAATGTCACATCATCAGTGTAGTATATGGTAGAGATAATTCATACTATTAATGTATAAAATATTGTAAGATCCAAACGATGTCTTTTGACCACCCGGGCCGGGAGCAGTGTCTTATTCATATACATCTAGTTCCCGGACTTCGGACTTGCTGAGAAGACATCGGGGGTTTTTAATGTAAGAATAGAACCTTCCAGGGTGATAATCACCGGCTTCCCCGGGTCGCTGGGACCACTCAAGAGTGATTATCACCTCATAGATTGCATCTACCATGATGATGGATGGCAACACCCTGTGGCATGTGAATGCCGACTTCCCTAAGTTCTCTGACATCATCTAGACACATGGACTGGATCTTTGTCTACCTCTGCACATGTAAAGCCACGGTTCTGCATGAGAAGGGACACAAAGAACATTCAGTCATCTCTGCCTCAGGCAGAATAACCTGTATAAGAACTCACTGTGCGAAGCAGCATTTGTGAACAGGGGGAAACTCTGACATTCGGAGGTCAGATCCGTGTGTTCACCCAGCAACGAACCCAGGCTTAATGCTGACCCTTGGCTGTGGTGGTATTTGACGACCGAAATTCGGTCTCGCAGACAAATTAATAAATCTTTGCTAAATTTTCTTATAAGTTTGGCTCTCGATTTGATAATTTATAACAATCAGTTTGAATGTAATAATGCCATTGAAATCTGTAACTTTGAAGCTTTGAAGGTCATTTTCAAAGCTAACAGCCTAAAGTGGATCTACAAACTGTTAATGCTGTCCAATAAGTTGTTAATTGTTCAGAAATCTAAGCATTTTAATCCCATTACCTATAAAGATGCAGCCTTCTGCCTGGGTCTGATTCATGTAATTGAAAATACTGCTAAAACAGCTGTATGTATTTTTTGGGCCTGAAGTTTTACAGCTGGTTTCGCCTAGATCATGTGCAACTCTTGTTTTAGGGTCAAGATCATCTCCTGCCATTTTCCAAAGAGAAATTGAAATGTGACTTTTTGTCATGATAAAGGGAATATTAAAGGATCTGAGCAGATGCAGGCTTAGATTCTTTTGGCGCACAAAATTATTTTAAAAAAATCTTTATGGTCAAAAATCTAAAATGTTTTAGACTATTCTCTGCCACATCTCAACTCTTTTATCTACTCTAGAGGCAATCTGACTTTTTTTAGTTTGGGTTTTGTTTTTTATATTATAATGGTGACTCTTGTGTCTGCAGATTTCTACCAGTGCAAGCAGCACTTTTGGACTAAAAAGTCATAAAAGGAGGTATATATATGCTTCAAGAGTTACTTTCTTCTGAAAGAAAATTGTTGATAACAGTGAAAGTTTCAGTATTCAAGAGACTCTCTTCTCTCTTCTAAATTCACACTCCCTCACCACATGAAACCCCGGACAGAGTCATCATAACTGATTACTGGTACCAAATGAGGCAAATCCTGGCAAAGCTCATATGGCTAAGGACATCATCTGGACCTCTAACAGCTGGTGAATCAAGCAACTGTGTCAGGGATAACCCACTCTGGCAAAGGCTGCTTGCATGTCGGCAAGCTGGCCTTCTGCAGCCAGGAGCTCTTGCACCAGCTCCCAAGGTCAGTAGTGAGCTTGCATGAATGAGCTTTCCCTTGCCCCCTGAATTTTATTTTGCCACTCCATCTAAATTATGTTTTTGGAGTTATTCAAGAGCACAAAGGAATCAGTTTGAAAATGGATGACAAGTACTTTATGAAAAACCAAATTCCACATGCCTTTAAAGTTCTGCAAGTACTCTTATCTCACTATTTCAAACAGTGAAAAAGCCATCCTTTTCCCCCTCTGTGTTTTGTGAATCAGACTACGTGTTCCTGGTCCTATGATTCTCTTTTAAATCGCTTCCTATTATTTTCTGCCATAATTTTTCTGGAAGGTAGAAATAGAAGACAGGGTTTTTTCAGTGCGACATAAATAAGTTTGATGGTCATTTTGTGTCTTGAGTTAAAAAAGGATTGGTATTTGTTTTTTCCTTAACAATTTGTCAATGTCCATGAATTACAGTATGGAATGAAAAAGGCTAAAACACTGGCTGTTTCATACATAAGAGATTTTCAAATTACTGCAGTCATTTGGTTTGGGTAGAACATACAAAGTAAAGCAGCATGCTAATTCCAGTTCACCTGTAGAATATACAGTACAGATTTCTTTTTCTTAGCACCTTCTAAACAGTTAGGTCTTCTCAATAAAGGATTCAGTCTCCACTAGGCCGTGCACCATGTGTATTTTTCTGAGAAGCATAACATATGACCCGTAAATTAGTACAATTTCATTGTACTTACATTGAGAAAGATATTTGATAAAGTGAATAAACAGCAAACTACTCCAGGCTCTTCCAAATTTTAGATGATAAATTTCACATTATCCTCAATCTCCTAATGCTATGTAACAGGTAGAGAAGTGGTTTTTGTTTTTGTACATATGACACAGGTTTGTTTTATATCCAATAAAATCCGGGAAAATGGGATTGTGAGATAAACTGTAAGAATGGTTGGAAGAAAATCACACATAGCTAATAATATTTGCTCGTTTGATGTGGCAGTTTATCAAACTTCATACAATAGAATTGTTAGAACAAGTGTGGGGTGGAAAGAGCACCCGAGATTTTGCTATTTCTGTGATAGTTTGCCTTTAACATTTTTAAATAACACTGTTTGAATTTCTGATTTATAAACTCTTTTCAACAAGAAATTTTCCTCCATTTTACATTCCAGAATTCTTTCCCATTTCTCCACTTAAGAGTGACCAAAATCTATGAAGCCTTTTAGTCCCTGTGAGCTGGTGTTCAGCAGTAGCTGTGTTGATGCCCCTAGTTTCCCTCACACACTGGACAAAAGTAAGTAATATCAGCTGCAAAAAACCTAACCAAGCCAATACTGTGGTTTAAATTATAAGCACAACTCTAAAGGCAGTTTCAACTCTGTGGTCTATTTACACCAATGACACTGTTGTAATGCACTTGTTCCTTTCTAGATCTTAGAGAAACATATGAAAGATGGGAATTGTAATAGGATACAATGTAGTGACAGGATAACTTTATTTATTGTCATTTGGATCTACCTCTTGGAAAAAGAAAGGAAAGTTTTAAATAAAGGAATGTGTTTCCCCTTGTCATGGTGGAATTAATCCCAAACATCTACTGTTAAGAGAGTGACCCCAGCTGGAGTACTTCAGCGTGTTTGCTGATGCTTTGATAAGACTAATATTCACTTTTTAAATATAGCTGCAGAAAAATCTTTCTCCTTACCTATTTCCTTCAGTGTTTCCATGACTGTTTTTATTTTTGTAAAGCATTTACTCAAAACATGAAGTGAAAGCAGCTGTGGTTAGTGGACGAAATAAAATCACAAATTACTTATTTGAGGCCAAACCCAAGAAACCTGGCAATCAATCCTTTTATTTACGCATCAACACCACAAATATATGCTTAGTGAAAGAACCACTGTGTTGTTTTTGTTCATTGGAAATGAAAGCTTCCACAGAATTATTGCTAATTTAATCTTTCAAAATGTAATAGGACCTGAACCTGGTTTCCTTCCCTTCTCCTTAGTGTAACTGATCTAGACATTATTTTATTAAATGTCTCAGATTAAACATTCTCTCTCAATTACAGATTACAGGAATCTGCTAAGATAATGAGTCCTACTACAATACCTGCTTTAATTGCTATATTATGAACTCCAGAACTGAAAAAATCCAGAGACTTCTAATAATAAAGTCTGTGGAATTCATTACAAGTTGTTCCCCTCTCTTGCACACTTTCTTTCCTTTCTCTTTTTAAAGAGGGAGAAGTCCTAAATGCCTTGGAAATATGCCCATGCATTGGGGTTTTGCAGTAAGCTAAATACCATTTAAAGTATAATGCTGCTTTGAAGGCTCTGCAGAACAGAGCAGAAAGCAGGAAAGTGTGACCAGAAGGTCTGTTCAAAGAGTAACAACAAAATGGTGACATTTCTGTAAATATGCTACTGCCATATTTTCCTTTAGGGGGAAAAAATAGCATCAGAGTGATTTTTGGCATCTCTCTGTAAGGACTACTGTCCAAAGGATGGCAGCAGTTGTGTTCTGGGGTGTTTTGTTATGGTTTGATTTGGGCTTTTTATTTTTTTTTTTCCTTAGCAAACCAGAATCATGCTGGACCAGAAAACATTCATTTCAATACACTTTTTTTCCCTGAAAGACACTTTGTAGCAGTTTAGACTTGGTGACTGAGTCAATTATTCCAGTAATTAACTCTTCTTTTCATTCCTGATTCAAAGAGTTTACTGCTATAAGATTTTCAGAGAAAACCTGAAATAATATAGAGTTATCACATGCAAAGTCTCTCTCTCTCTCTCAAAGTCTCATCTCTGCTGAGATCATGTTTATAAATTCATAGTGTCATTGTTTGGAAAAGACCTCTGAGGTCATCAAACCCAACTCTTAAGCCAGTATCACCATGTTCTCCATTAAACCATATCATCAGGTGTGAGGGTGTTCACAGGGGTTCTTGAATGAGGGAAGAGACGAAGATCTGACTCCATGTTTCAGAAGGCTTGATTTATTATTTTATGATATATTACATTAAAACTGTACTGAAAGAATATAAGAAAAGGTTTTATCAGAAGGCTAGCTAAGAATAGCATAGCAAAGAATGATAACAAAGGTTTGTGGCTCCAGCTCTGTGTCTGAGCCAGCTGACTGTGATTGGCCATTAATTACAAACATCCAACATAGACCAATCACAGATCCATCTGTTGCATTCCACAGCAGTAGATAATCAATATTTACATTTTGTTCCTGTGTTGCCGCCGCTTAGGGCGTGGCGTCCCGGCTCGAGGACGGTTCAGTGGCAGCGCCTCTGCCACATGGGCCAAGCACACGCATACACCAATGTGGTGGACAGTAACTGGCCTTTATTAACGGTTAGGCAGGGTCTTTTATAACAGGGGGTAACAGTCAGTTAACGGTAAAAGGGGAGGGGTTCTGCATGACCTCGCGATATTTCCCCACATTTCCCCCCCTTTTATGACTTGTTAAAAACATAAAGCAAAACTGACAAGTAGGAAACGTTTAACTGGCAATATGCAATTAACTTGAACACTGTAACACAACTGCAATAAACGTGTAACTGCAAATGTTTAACAAACTAAAAGCTAACTATCTCTAACTGTTTTTTTCTAAAAAAAACCCACAAACTTGTTTAAAATGTAAGGCGATCATTCATGGGGCTGACTGAACCCTGTCTTTGAATATCTTTGTAGGACCTCTTTCCTCAGTTTTTGTTTTTTTTTTTAGTTGACCTCCTAGGACCGAATTATTTTCCCAGAGTCTGCGACCTGTTTGATCTTAAACTAGAGAGGATTTGGAGAGTCTATGTCCAGACTTATGTTCCCTCCAAATCGCCCTTTGATCCTTTGACACAGGGAAGAACTCTGGGTTACTTGGCATTCCATCCAAGTAGAGCCAGAACCTGGCGAGAGCTTGAACTCTACTTAATGGATATCTCTTAACATTTTTGCTGACATGTCGCCATGGTGACCCTCTCCCTCTGGGGCTTGTCACCCTGTGGCGCATGAGGCGAAGGCCCCGCCCAGGCTCCCTCGGACTCCGAGTCAATGGCAGCCCCCCTGCCTCCCATCTAACGGCGGGGCCGTGCGGCCCTGAGATAACGGCGGGGCTCCACACCTCTGAACTAACGGCCGCGCTCTGTGCCTCCAAACTAACGGCCGCACCCCTCTGAACCAACGGCCGCGTTCTGCGCTTCCTTTAGCAGCCCGTCCCAAAATGACAGCTTTTTCCCCGTAGATGGGGTGCCTGGGCTTGGGAGCTACGAAGAGTGCTCCCACGGCTGCGAATCCCCACACTCAGCAGACCCAGGATTGTCTGCACCCTGCCGGGGTCCCTCCCACAAGCAGTCCTGGGTGGCCTTCCACTTTCCCTGCTCCCGCTGGAGTGGACGAGCTTTTATCAGTGCCCGCATGACCCTGCCCCATGATTTTAGACTCTGCCCTGAGCCTGAGGACATAGCCTCCTCCGCTAGGGCCCCAGTACAATTATCCCATACTTCCAGGCGGAAGATATCCTCCGGATGCCTGATTACCCCAGCGCACAAGAGCCTTGACACTGCGAGGACAAAATCACCTGGCTCACAATCTATGCCCCAGTCTCTGTGAATTTTAAAAATGACTTTAGCAAGGGGCTCCATCCTCTCCATTTCTGGCTATCGACGCGAGCCTTCCTCCTTCACCAGGTCCTGGCACGAGACTTCCTCCTTCGCCGAATTGCGACGTGAGACCTCCTCTTCCGCCAGCTGCGACGTGAGCCCTCCTCCTTTGCCAATTTTCTGGCGTGAGACTTCCTCCTTCGCCGCCCCGGCGTGAGCCTTCCTCCTTCGTCGGTCCTAGGTGCGAGCCTTCCTCCTTCACCACTCCTGGTGCGAGCCCTCCTCCTTCGCCGAATGCCAGCAGGAGACCCTTCCTTCTTGCTGGTCCTCTGGGAGCGTCCTCCCCACCGGAGACAGTCCTGCTGCTCTGGCCACCGTCCACTCGCCCAGGCGATTCCCGCTTCCCGGATTGTTCCTGGGTTTCGGCACCACTTGTTGCCGCTGCTTGGGGCGTGGCGTCCCGGGTCAAGGACGGTTCAGTGGTGGCGCCTCTGCCATATGGGCCAAGCACATGCATACACCAATGTGGCGGACAGTAACTGGCATTTATTAATGGTTAGGCAGGGTCTTTTCTAACAGGGGGTAACGGTCAGTTAACGGTAAAAGGGGAGGGGTTCTGCATGACCTCGTGGTATCTTGAGACCTTGCGATATTTCCCCACAGTTCCTGAGGCCTCTCAGCTTCTTAGAAGGAAAAATCCTAAGAAAAGGATTTTTCATAAAAGATGTCTGCGACAATCAGGTGCACTTTAGATACTTCCCAGAATGGTGATTAGTGCAGATGTGAAAGGGACCATGACAAGGAAGGGATTCAAAGTTATCTTTTTCAGTTTTAGCTGCAAAGGCAAGTGTCCTGGTTTAGAGCAAATTTGGGAGTGAATCCCCAAAGGGGCTCTGGTAGGAAAGCAGATTCAATCAGCCCCTCCCCCCAGCCGGTCTGGGAGAAAATACCTCCTTGGAGAAAAGTGGAAAAAAACTGTTTATTAAACAATAAAGCCTAAACAATATTAAACAATAAAATCCCTTGCCACTCCAAAAGAGATGACAAACTGAGAAAACCCCCTCCCCGGGTTGCAGCTCAGCTCACTCAGTCTCTGGTCAGTCCCTCCAGCACTGTAAATGTTGTGGGCCAGGCCAGGCCCAGCCCGGTGGGCCACAGGTGCAGCTGCCAATGCTCCTCTGGGTGTTCAGTCCAGAGCAGGTTTCAAGAAGTCCAAAGAAAAGGGAAAAAAACACAGTCCAGGGAACTTCTTTGCCTCAGGTAGCTAAACTAACTAAAGACAAAAAAGAGCTCTGTCCCGCTGTCTGTCCATCTGCAGACAACACAGTCCAGGAGCAGGAATGTGGAGGAGTGAGAGCAGTATCTGGAAAAAAACTGTGCACTTCTTCTCTCCCTCCTTCATTTGCTGCAACAAGTCTTAAAGGTGCAAAACTTATTATTCAGAGTAACAGAACAGAGATAATTGGGGATAAAAGCATCATATAGTCAACCCAGGACATATAGCTGATCTAAATGTCACCGAGTGCAGCAATCAGATAATACATCTCAAATCTACCCTTAACTGACCTTTTCCCTGCATGCCTCCCTGCTCTTTGCCACCTTGGGAAATAACTTAGAGTTGGACACTCTTCAGTCATCCTCTAGAGATAACTTTCTGCCTATTTTCTGGCTATTTATATAGGGAAACGCATAGGCCAAGAACAGAAGCTTAGGTTTTACTTAGAATCAGCATTGTAGTAGTTATTTCATGGAATTATGCTGGAGAATAAGAGGAGAATGGAAGATGTCAGCTAAAGAAGACACATTACATAACCCTGATGATGGAAGTGATCCTCTATGCAACACTTACACATGACATCAGACATAGGCCTAACTTTCATCTGCTTCTATATCCTCTACTAAAAACTAGTCCTGCATTGCAGAGGGCCACATCTGTACAATAACTGGGAACTTGGGTTATGCTACCCTTGGGAAGTAGTTGAGCTTCAGCCTTTGCTTTGTGTTTGTTGGTTGTTTTTTCAACTGGTTGTTAATTAAAAGTAATTTTTTTGAGATGTCCTGGGTTGTAAGATATGGTTTGTGGGTGTGTATTCTGTTTTTCATCTGTTAGATGTAGGGCAGTTATCTTCTGTTAATTGGGCAGTTTACTTTATCTCTTCCAGAACCAATCCTCCCTCTGAGGAGATACTTTCTGTTAATGGTCCATTGAGTCTCACTGCATGACTGATAAAATTACATCATCCCCTTGGGAGATGCTCCACCCAGGAGGAGGAGCCAAGCATTCCTACCTGGATATGATCTGAGATTTGGAACAGAGAAGCAGCATTTTCCCACTGGATTCCAGAGGAAGATCAGGCCCATCTATACCACCACTGGATCTCCAGAGGAAAACTGCACCCTTCTACAGAATCACTGCTTCAACAGAACCACATCTGTCACTCCAGGAGGACTGCAGCCATCATTTAATCAGACTGCTGCCAACACCCTGACCAACAGGGTGTCAGGTTTGCATTTTGACTCTGTCAGTGTTGTTTTGTGTTACTGCATTTTCTATTTTATTTTATTTTTTTATTTTCTTCCCTAATAAAGAACTAGTATTATTCCTACTCCCGTATCTTTGCCTGAAGGCCCCTCAATTTCAAAATTATAGTAATTCATAGGGAGGGGGTTTACATTTTCCACTTTGAGGAAGGCTCCTACCTTCCCTTAGCCGACACCTGTTTTTTCAAACCAAGACAGAGAAAAACCTCTTGAGGTTGCATATAGAATTTACATGAAAACTTTGTGAAACAGTTCAGAGAATCAGGTGAAGTCATATTAAATTTTAGGTAACCCAATAACCTTTGTAATTTGGCTTAATAATGCAAACAGGAAAAATAATATCAAGTACGAAGACACTCATCACTCATGCTCTAGTGACAGGAAACATTGCTGAACAGCCTATTAAAATCAGGTTTCTGCTTCTTTTAAGACAAGATGTTACAAGGTAGGGCTTCACTTTTGAAGACTTCTCAAAGTTTCCAATATTTGGCATGTAACCAGTGCTAACTCATTAATCTCTTCCCAGGTAAAACAGTGAATGGGTATGTTCTTAGAGACTTCAGGTTTTGGCCAGACCTCAAAGCTGAATCTGACAGAATAATTCAGTCAACCTATCTGTTGAAATTGAAACAACTTCATTTTTGAAAAGCTGGCTCTGGCACTTTGAAAACCATAAAAATTACACTTCAAATGGTCCACAATAGAAGACAAAAACCAATTTGTCTAAATTGAAAGAACTAAGTCAGTGCCAATGAAAGATGTGTCGATTTTATAACTAAGAAAGTCCTCATTTATCAGATCTCGATCCAATACCTACATGTATCATTGAGTTCAAGACATGCATTTTATCTTCCAATTCTTCGATTATGCCAGATGTTACCTAACTTTTCAGCAACAAACTTTTCAATTATTTGCCAAAGATATGACAACTAGAAGTCTGTGAGAAAGAGCATTTGACAGGGTCCTTCATATAGCTATTTAAAACTTTTCTGGATTGCTAAGAACTGAGCACAGCAGTGATCCAAAGTCAGCATCTGGCTGGTAACCATAAGACAGAGCAGTGGTCGAGTTTATTACACGTTATATTCAGATGACCTACAGATGCCAACTGACCCAAAAGAGCTAACTTTCTCAATCTTATATCCATATCTGTAAGCTGGACAACTGTAGAGTATTTGCAGATATCTGGAAATACTGAGAAGTTTAGAGGAACTGATGAAAGTTTTGTAAAGAAAAATGTAAGCAACCTAGAGATTTTAACATGACTGAGTATTGAATTTAGATTCTCAAGTGCAAATTTGGATTAAAATACTCCTGTTGACTCAGTCACAGAGCAAGGCAGCTGAACCAGGCTTTACTTCAGACATAGTTTTTGTCTGTGTTGTGATCTCTGCAATACCATTTGATAGACATTCCAAGGAGCCCATACTCAAGGCAGGAAAAGTCATTGAATACAACTATTTAGAAACATACTGGTATGGTTCAGTTTCAAACAACTTCAGTAAAGCCTCTGTCACTTTCTCCCATAGTACTCTACTGGAAAAACTGGCAGCCCACAGTTTGGACAGGTGCTCTCTTGACTGGGTTAAAAACTCTCTGGATGGCTGGGCACAGAGAGTGGTGATGAATGGTTGTAAGATTGACCTAGCAGGCTGTTTGGGTCCAATCCGGCTAGCTATGGACCTTAGCCCTTGCAATCTTACAAGGACAAAAGCAAAAGGTGAAAGGCACTCTTTTCCTCTTGGGAACAAAGTCCTATTTCATTTCCAAGATAGGAGTCACCAGGTGGTCCAGGTGAAAAAGAGAGAGAGGCCTCCCTGCAGGAGACTGTTAAACCCCGGGGGGATGGGGGCTGGGGGAAGAGCACCTCAGCCAATGGGATACATGTGAGGAAGGGGGGAGGGAGGAGTAAATCTGGGACAAACCATTACCACCAGTGCTTTTGGGGGAGGGAAAGACCATGTGATATGAGAGGGAAACCCATGAGGATACAAACATACTTATCAGTGCAATAATACTAGTGCAAAACAACTAAATAAACTATTTAGTGCAATACAACAAATGGTCCCACATTCAGCAGTCAGCTGGTCACCAGTCGGGTTCACCACAACTCAGTATGGAGGTTAGTCTTGTTTTATACCTTTTCATGTTTGGGACAAGGGGATCAAGTGGGTCTTCAGTCAGTTTGCAGATAACACTACATTGGGTGGGACTGTTGAGCTGCTGGAGGACAGGAAGGCCCTGCAGAGGGATCTGGACAGTCTGGATAAACGGCTAAGGCCAGTGGCCTGAGGTTCAACAAGGCCAAGTGCTGGGTCCTGCCCTTGGGCCACTACAACCCTCTGCAGTCCTGCAGGCTGGGTCAGAGTGGCTTCCTGGTAGAAAAGAACTTGGGAGTGCTGACCAACAACACCAGCTGAACATGAGCCAGCTCTGCGCAAGTAGGCAAGAAAGCCAAGGGCATCCTTGCCTGTATGAGCAATAGTGTGGCCTGCAGGACCTGGACAGTTAATGCTCCTCTGTACTCAGCACTGGTGAGACCACACCTCAAATCCTGTGTCCAGTTCTGGGCCCCTCACTACAACAAAGACATTGGGATGCTGGAGCACGTCCAGAGAAGGACAACAAAGCCGGTGAAGGATCTGGAGCATAAGTCTGATGAGGAGAGGTTGAGGGAGCTGGGGTGTTTATCCTGGAGTAAAGGAGGCTCAGGGGGAACCTCATTGCTCTTTAATTTCTGAAAGTCAGTTGTAGCCAGGGGTGGGTCAGGATCTTCTTCTAGATGATGAGTGACAGAGTGAAAAGATACAGTTTTAATCTCTGCCAGGGGAGATTCAAGTTAAACATTAGGATCAATTTCTTCACTAAAAGCGTTGCTAAGCAAGCATTGTAATGGACTGCTTATGGAGGTTGTGTAATCACCATCCACAGAGGTGTTCAAGAAACAACTGGATGTGACACTTAGTGCCATGACCTGTTGCAGCCTGAATAGCTGCTAGTAAAGTCCAAGGTAAAGAAGCAAAAAGGGCCTTTGCATAGTATCCACAGATGTTTAATTCAGCCGTGCAGTGAGATGTTCAGGTCCCAGGCACACACATGCAGGGTCCAGCTCTCTCTCTGAGGGGCCGAGGGGCTGACCCTGGTCTCGGGGGAGTACAAAGATAAGGGCCAATCGGGGAATAGGGAAGGAGTGGCTCAGGGACACAGGAGCAGACATAGGAACCGGGGAAGGAGCCAATGGGGTGTAACTCAGGGGATGCCTCCCAAGGCCTCCACAATGACCTAGTTGACAAGCTGGTCATCAGTCAAAGGCTGGACTCAATGATCTTGGAGGTGTTTATCAACCTAAATGGTTCTGTGATACTGTGATTCTTATGCAGAATATTGAAGGGTGTGGTTAAGGTGCCTCCATTATGGTCAAGATTTCCTGTGTCCTTCAAAAGCCAGCACTTTTTTAAAATAGGAAAAACATTAAAAAAACCCAAAACATTTTCTCTCATTTTAATTACTTGGTGAATGTATTATCAAAGTCCAAAGTCTAGGTGACTTTCTGTGTTTTGTAAGTTTTAAGTTTTCAGAGTAATATACTAGCAATTTTAGAAGACAGAGCTTATTAAAATTAAAAAGGATACATGAAAGGTGAAAAACAAGAACACTGCCAAACAAGTGGCTAATATTAATTTCATTCTCTGCCTTATGTTTGTTTCTTTTGTATTTTTAGTGTACGCCTAAAGGATGTATTTAGATGATGAGCAGGATTTGAAAGAGGGTCCTTTTTCAGACTAAGAAAGCTTCTTTTCAAGAAAACAAGCAAAGTAGGTCACTGATCTAATGCAAGTACTGATATTAATAATAAGTGGATAGGTTGAGGATATTTGCTTCATTCAAAGGACAAAGACATGTCTACTTTACAAATTTATCAGTACAGTTAGCACTGTTACAGTCTCACTGTTAGAGAAAAGGCATGTAATTAGATGAACAGGTCAACTGATCTCCTTTTTCCAGAGGGCATTTCCTCGGGGAATTGTAACGTATTTGTAAAGGAAAAAACTCCCTCTCCACCTCTATGTTTTATAGATATATAAGTGATTTTGATTTCCAAAAAAATCATCAGTCTACCAAGAGCAGTAACAACAAGCTAGAATCCAGTGCTAGAGACTTTAGGTGGTAGAGTCCATTGACAAGCTCATGCATTTCTCAGTTTTTGAATAGAGTCTTGGCAACAGTTGTTGCAACACATTGCTTTTCCATAAAGTTGTTAAATTAACAGCCTTGAAGACTTACTCCTGTTTTCTTCAAAAACATGCACCATTCAGTTGTTTATTACCTGTAAAAAAATTTACTTTAGTATAGTATTTGCTCACCATCACACACCATGTAGCTCAAAGTCAGGTCTCAGTGAAAAGGAAAGAAGGGAGCCTAAAAAAGTGAATTATGTGTGACTTATTATTGTTCCTCCGAGTCTTTCCAGAAAGGGGACAGGTAAATACAGGAGGAGGGGAGAAGAGGGAGAGATGGGGACTAAAGCATAGACCTATGTATAGAGACCTCAAGCAACATGGTAAAAAATGTGAGATCTTCCCTTGATCAAAACATACAGAGCTAATTTACTTTACAGTGATTTGTAACTATCAGTTCAGAAAAACAGCTGTGGTTTCAACAGTGCTTCCTCCAAATGAGCTGAGGTACACATATATAGTACCAGCGGAAGGAAAGAAAGCCTAGGAGTCCTTTAGGCTTTCTGGGCCCATTCTCATTTAGGCTTTCTGTGCCCATCCTTGCCCCTTCATCTTTTGCTTCTCATAAATTCATACAAAGTTGTGGACATGTATTATAATTAATAGTGGAAAAATATGAAGTAACTTGTGGGTTTTGAATGTCCAGACTTCAGATGCAAGCAGATGACACCATTTCTTGTTCAGTTCAAACTCTGTAGCAAGTGTGTGAGTAGAAGTGAATGAACAGAGGATCTGATTTTTGATTGTGGATGCTTGTTTGGAGAACCAGTAAATATGGTTATAACCAAGCCTACTGAGCTAAAGGAGTGACAGACATTTTCAACTCTTGCTTTTA